CATAATAAAAGCTCCGCTGCTTTCGAACCGTGTGTCGCGCTGGTTCAGCGGCCTCGTTTCGCTTCGACGGCTTTCAGCCTCACCCTGCTTCATTCTACTACGTTAATAAATCATTAGCTCATCCATGAACATGATTTCTGCCCTTGTCCTGTCGGATTGCATCGGCTGTGGGGATGAAGACGACAACTCCCATGATTCCACATTCAGTCACGGCGTCATCAAACTACGCCTTTGCCTCTTTTTATATTTTGAATACGCGCCCTCTAGCGGCGAAAATTACATATTGTGCCTTTAACTGGCCCACAAGCTTGGATGGATGGACAGATGACTGACCTTCAACATTCACTGACCTTCAAAAACATGAACACATACACAATAATTTTCTCTTTTTAAGGCTTTGGTAAGCTACAACGATGACCCTGTGGATAGAGACTTAATGGGACAATTAAGGAAAACACAACTGATTCCAGTAAAATTACAATTAACGTTTTGGCAGCAGCGCTGTGAGTGAAATGATGGCTGTCTGTGGAATGACATCTATTAATCAAGCAGATTGAGAAGTGGATAATTGGAGTGATTGGAAGAAATCCTGAGGCTGATTGCACACGCTCTTACCATCTGAGTGACGCAGAAGCAGTGCTTGAAGTTGTGGAAGGGGATGTTATTGTAGTGTCGGTACACTTCATAAAGGAACTGCTGCAGCACATCCAGCTCAATGTTAAAGGTGGAGATGAAGTCCAGGTCTGTGTACATCACCTGGAGCAGCACCATGATCTCAGCGTCCTCCCATTGCCTACAACAGCACAAAATCTTAATTTTCCTTAGACGGAATCATATCTTGTTGTATTAATCTGAAGCTGAAGCCTGGTTTCAACAAGTCCACTCGGAAGACTATTGCATTAATGAACATGGAGCTCCAGCCCTTTGCTCACAAGAAGTGCTTTTGATTTGTAAACCTCAAGCAGGACCATTGAAATTAATATGAGGCCCTTCGGGAAGATGAAAGGCCTGATCTCTGCCATGTTCTTTATGCTTAATTTAGAAGTGCTGTGCTTTGCTACACTAACAATTTCCTATTCATGTTTGACAGGTGCAGGACTTTGATGTGGCTGCAGCTAGCTACTGTGAAGACTCCTGTTTTTCCATTTATTTAGAAAAAAACAAGTCATATCCGGGTTAAATATTTACATGAAATTGTCAAAACTATTAAAAGAAATAAAAGAAAGTGTATGTGCATTTCTGTTAGCATGCTTTGTTTTGTGAAAAACTTACCAGTTATCAAAGGTTGGTGTTTTAAGATACTGTCTCACCTCTTCAGAAACCTCCAGAGAACTAGAGAAAATAAATCAGAAGCAATTATTTATTTTATTTTATTTTCACATTAGATTTTAAATAATGAATTTTGGGAATGTCACCTCATTTGGAGGAACTTTTGCCTGACGTGCTCACACTCTTCTCGGGTCTTGCGCAGGGTTCTTTTATGGTAGAAAGGGGAGGGCTTGTGGGTGCCTTCTGATATGTCTTTAAACAGTCCCAACCAGCTCAGGTGCTCAACACTCTAAAGAGAAAGACATCATGTTATAGGGCTAGAAATATGCATGTACTTGGTAAATGTTCCTTATGTTTACTGATAGAGATAGTAAAGTCCTTAATTTCAAAATAAAATAAAAAACAATAAGAAAAGAAAGAAATACAAAACACACAAAATAAATATTACATATAAACACTGCCAACAACAAGTTTGGAATAATTAATATTTTTTTATATTTTTTGAAGAAGTTATATGCTCACCAAGGCTGCATTTATTTGAACAAAAATGCAGTGAAAACAGTAATATTGCAAAATATTATTCAGATGTAAAAGGACTACTTTCTATTTTAGTATATTTTAAAATATAATTTATTCCTGTGATGGCAAAGCTAAAATTTTAGCATCATTACTCCAGTCTTCAGTGTCATATGATCCTCCAGAAATCATTCTAAAATGCCGATTTGGTGCTCAGTTATTATAAACAATCATTGGTGCTCAATTATTAATAATGGTTCTTATTATTATCAATGCTGAAAACAAATTTTGCTGTGTAAAATATTTCTGTAGAAACAAAAAAATTGTATATATTTTTTTTTCAGAATTCTTTGATGAATAGAAAGTTCAATGAACAGCATTTTATGGAAATATATATATATATATATATAAATAATTTTTGTAACATCATTAATGTCTTTGCTGTCACTTTTGATCAACTGAATGCATTCTTGTTTCCCTTAAAATATTAAAAATAATGAAAATATTTAGCTATATATGGAATCCATTAAATTCCCGGTGCAGATGAAAAATCTCAAACGCAGTAGTTCAGTGTTCATACCTCCAGTTTCTCTCTGAATGACTCCACCTGTCTCTTCATCTCATACACAATGGCAGGTGTCTCTGCTGCTTCAGTTAGGATTCTTTTCTCCAGGCTCTGTAACCTGTTTAATTTTTGGGGTTAAATAAGAGCCAGAGTTTGTGGCACATATAAAATGCAATTTTGTGCTAGATTTCTGTTGGCCATGAATCATGACTCTTCTTGTGCTACCGTCACAGACAAGTGTGATTTCTTATTTCTTTAAGGTAGTAGGACGTTTTAAGAATGCATACTACTTTTATGGCTATTAAATATCACCAAAATGAAAATTCTGATTTAATTTGCCATACAGAAAGTGTGCATTTTAAATATGTCCCAACGTTACCTTTTCTCCATAGAAGAGAGGTCAAATCCCAGAGCAACAGCCAGATCTGAACCTAAAAGATAGAGTTCAACATGATCCAAATGGTCATGTGTGACATTTATCACATTTATGTTTATTCATAACTTTATCAATACAGTAGTGCTAAGGTGGAGAATACCTAACAGCTCACTGTTACAGTCTGCAGCGACCACTTCCAGTTTATAACAGGAGTGTGGACTATTTGGGGCCAGTTGTGGGGAAATATTAATGATATTGCCTTTAGTATTATAGAGTTTTAAGATGTCATGAGGTCCAGCCTCAGCTGCTGCTCGGAAAAGATCTGTGATGCAAACACACACACAAACATTTATCATTAATGTTAATGTTGCAGATATACTTCATCATCACATTTCTCATCTTCATAACTGAGGTACATGGAAATTAATGCACTTTAATATGAGTGATTAATGCTGAAAACGCCATATGTTTCCTTTAGTCCACTGCTTGGCACTTGAAGACTGACTGACTGTCAGCACCACCTGTGACTCAAGCTGTCTAACTGAAGTATGACGGTTTATTTGTTTCTGACTCACAATCTGTGACTACAAATTCACCCATGCACATTGAGTCAGTATGGAAGATATAAAGTTAATTAGTGGCCTGCGAGTTCTCTAGAGAACTGGAGTCTTATATCAAAAAAATAAAGATTAAAAAATGAGATCATCTTGTTATGTTGTATTAGCTATCCAGGTCAACAGAATAGCTCTTCATAAGGGCTCGCTGTAATTGAGAGGACCTGATTAAAGAAACCTGGCTGTTGTCAGTGCCCTTGAGAATGAGAACAGTCCTCAAGCTTGTTTTCTGCAGAATAAATGCTAATGAGGGCAGAGAACCAATTTGGTCATTACAAAAACCCCTTTTCATAGAAGAAATTCTATTTGATGTTGATACACGAATTAAAGACAAACCCCTTTTTACCTGAAAATTTTATATATTGAATAATTTACATTACGTAAATGTAATTTAAAGTTAATTTTAATCAACTTTATTTATTATTGTTATTGGTTCAGCAGTTAAACATTCATCTCATTTCAGTGTTATATTTCTGTGTGCACATCAAAAACTTTATATAAATATTACTAAATATTATACATTTGATATAAAAGTATATAATTCTAGTTAGACTAGAAGAAAATATAATTTGAGACAATCCTTACCTTTAACATCTTGTGCAGGACAGTCAATGGAAAATTCAGCTTGTTCTGGTCTTCCATTCACAGTAAAATAAATGATTTTAGTTGCCATGTCAGGTGATAATCTGCTGCACTCTCACCTTCGCTGATCGACGTGTGTGTACAGTGTTACATCAGTGATTCAACCTATCATTCATTCAAAACCCCCCACCGTTTTTAAACCATCTGTGTGGGGTCCACCCCCTTCATCCTCAACCCTGCTCTGTATTTCTGTTAATATGGATACAAGCTAATATTTCCTTAAATTTATCTTAAAAGTTATTCATTTTGCACCTGATTTAGTTTTTATTAAATGTATTTTTAATTAAATGACAACAATTAGTATTAATAATGGTTTTGTTTTTTTTGCAATTAGTAAAATGATGAACTAGCTTATGGAGGACGAAACCTGCAAAAACAATAAATAAATAAATACACAAATAAATAAATAAATATGCAAATAAATAAATAAATGTCTGTATAAATACACAAATTATTGTTTAAATACATATAGAAATAATTAAACGTGATTAAAGTAGGCCAATAAATTAAATAAATTGGTGGACAAATGGAAAATGTTTAAGGAAATGCTAAACTCATCCTAACTAGTATGTTTATGTTTATGCAATTAAGGGCTATGTAAGCATTAATATTTTACTTTGACCACTTAAAATATTTTATGATTTAGCTCTCTCATGATTATAACTACAAAACTAACCCTATGAAAAAGTGTAAGATAATAATCAGTCACCTTGACTGATGAAGTTAATACGCATGCGCAGGCAAACGCTCAAGCGCGCCACACACGATCCTCCTACTCTTGCATAATTGACACTCTCTCATTAGCATGTTGCGCAGAGGGAAAAAAAAAGTGGAACTACATTCAGAAATAAATGAGTGATCAAAGGAAAATATTTAGGATGAGTTGAGCATTTCCTTAAACATTTTCCATTTGCCCACCAATTTATTTTATTTATTTGCCTACTTTCATCACATGTATAATTATTTATTTATGTATTTAAACAAGAATACGTGTATTTATGCACACATTTATTTATTTATTTGTGTATTTATTTATTTATTTATTGTTTTTGCAGGTTTCGTCCTCCATAGTAGCGTGAACAAGCAAAGTAAAAACACACTGCCAGTCAGGCAAACGTTAACCAAACAATAAAGTTTTAGTAGTAGTAGTAGTAGTATTTTAATTTAAGTAGATGAAAAATATTAATTATTTAAAACATAACTATAAAATAGCAACCTATGTTGTCAACATATATCATAAGAACAATGAGAGCAATGAATAAAAATGATTTTATTTAAAAAGGTAAATATCGTGGACTTCTATTTTGTAGTGAACTTTTATTGTGAATTGTCTTCTTGAACCTTAGCTGCTTCCTGAACGGAAATAGAATTACAAGTTCCTCTAAGCAAGTCTGAAATTCAGGTTTTAATCTGGAAAAAGGTTATTGCAGAATGGCAAATAAAGTGGGACAACAACGAAAAGGGTAGATTTCTCTACAATTTAGTTAACAAAGTGAAGTAAAAAAATAAGACATATTGGTAAAACAAGGAAAGAAGAGGTTGTCTATAATAGACAAGAATTGTTGGGAAATTCCAATCTTAATAGTACACTCAAAATATTAGGGAAGCATCCAAATGGACTATGTGAACAATGCAAAGTAGAAGAAACAGTAACCCATGCAATTCTTGAATGTAAGAAATATGAGGAAGAAAGAAGTAATATGATAGTTGAAATCAGTAAGAATGGAATTCAGGTGGTACATTTTAAATCTTTAATAAAATGGGCATGTGAAATAAATAGTAAAGCTTTCTTTAATTTTAATTTAATTTAATTTAATTTTAAATTTTAAACATTTTTTAATTTTAATTTACTTTTTTTATTTATTTAATTTTTAAGGACGGGATTAAAGGCAGAGTAAGGGATTTCTGGTATCCAATGTTGATATTTGAAATCACCAAAACAAACACGCCCCTACCCCAAAAGGGTCTTGCCCCTATTTTGATAGCTCCGCCCCACATATACGTACGCAACCCAGGCAACGATTAGTTCTGTGAAACAAAGCAAAACCAATGTTACACCGTGTCTACGGACGTAAGCGGCGCGGCTCAACAAATCCCGACAGAAAACTGCTGCCGGGTTTCCTGAACGAAGCACAACGTGGTTTTAGGAGAGATAGCACGACACTTAGTCCGAAACGTATAGATATATTTATTTTAGCAATCTTATATTTAATCATGACAGAAGGCAAATCATCAGAGAAGCCGGCGAAAAACCTACTGGCTCTGAATCCAAAGGAGGAAGCAGAGTTTCAGAAGAAGGTTCAGCAAGTAAAGAATCGTCCTAAAACGGTATGACGACTGACCATGTGGCTCGAGTTCAGCCCAACCATCATTTATCTTCACGTTGAAAAATTATTTGTTACATACATTTGACATTTATTTAGTTATCTTTGTTAGAAAAAAATTGTTATTTGAATAGAAGAAACCTCTTTATTCGACACTAATTTGTTCTACAAAGCTTGCACGTTCTTCAATTTTGTTTGACGTTTTTCTGTTTAACGTTAGTTGACTTGCATATTTTATTATTTTGAGCTGAATATAATATTAATTATATTCCCTCAGGGTCAGTCGCTTTCTCCTGGAGTGCTTTATGTTGGCCATCTGCCTCGAGGATTGTTTGAACCCCAGTTAAAATCTTACTTTAAACAGTTTGGCAAAGTCACACGAATAAGAGTTTCCAGGAGTAAAAAGGTATGACGTTCTTGTAGTATACAATGAGTTGGGTTAGTGCACTGTATTTATAACACAATCTATTCATAAATTATATATTAAAAGTATTAATGAAGTGGCTGAATAGAAATCCTAAAGGAATTCTGATGGAATTTCTATAATTTTTTTAAAACTAATTTGAGAGTTCTAATAGAAATTCCATAAATAAACGCATAAGATCCTCTTGGATTCAGTTAACTCAATAAGGCCCTATTGATTTTAAAGGGGTGATATGATGCGATTTCAATTTTTCCTTTCTCTTTGGAGTGTTACAAGCTCTTGGTGCATAAAGAAGATCTGTAAAGTTGCAAAGACTAAAGTCTCAAATCCAAAGAGATATTCTTTATAAAAGTTAAGAGTGCCCTCCGGCCGTTCCTCACTCCAGCTCCGGCCTCTGCTCACTCTAGCCCCCGGCCTCTCCTCACTCTAGCCCCCGGCCTCCGCTCACTCTAGCCCTCCGGCCTTTAGCAGCATCATATGACCCCTTTAAGAGGAATAAAGAAAACATGTTTGATCCCATAGGGATGGCTTCCAAATATTTTCAAATAAAAAAGACTTTAAAATTTGGGATGTTTGCTTGTATGTACATATAATTTATATGTTTAACATAATAATGGCACAATCTGAAAATTATCTTTGGCATTTGTTGCTTTGGATAAGATAATTGTGCAGACAGCAATAAGGTACATTTTGCTTATCGCCAACTCTGTTGTTGTGCAATAAAACCAATGTGCCAACACTGTAAACACATAAGAGTCATACTAGTGGATAATACCTTGCTTTAAAGATTATAATGCAAGTATTATTAAACTCTCATCTTTCACAGACTGGAAGGAGCAAAGGCTATGGATTTGTGGAGTTTGAGTGTGATGAGGTGGCTAAGATTGTGGCTGAGACCATGAACAACTATCTTATTGGAGAACGGCTCATAAAGTGTGAGTTGATAGTGTAAAGGATTTTGCATGTATATTTTCTTACATAATATGTTGTCTAAACATTACTGTGTTTTGTCCTGTATAGGTCATGTGATGCCACCTGAGAAGGTCCATGAAAAACTATTTGTAGGTTCCAGGTTGGTCTTCAAGAAGCCAACGCAGCCTGCAGTTTCTCGTCATAACAAACAGCATGCGGAAGAAGATCTGAAGAAACTTGGTGCAAAGCTTTTAAGCAAAGAGTCTAAGCTACGCAAGAGACTGGCGGCAAAGGGCATCGACTACGATTTCCCAGGATTTGTAAGTACTATGTTGTTATTTTTAATCCGATAATTTAAAGGAATAGATTATCCAAAAATGAAAATTTGCTGAAAATTTACTCACCCTTAGGCTATCCAAGATGTAGATGGGTTTGTTTCTTCATCGGAACAGATTTGAAGAAATTTAGCTTTACATCACTTGCTCACCAATGGATCTTCTGCAGAGAATGGCTACCGTCAGAATGAGTCCAAACAGTTGATAAAAACATAATAATTCACATGGCTCCAGTCCATCACTTAATCTCAGTGAATTGAAAAGCTGCATGTTTGTGAATCCTCAAGGCGTTTTCTCTCATTTTGACCATCACTTCTGGTCAAACTAATAACCATAATAAGAGTCCATAGTAACACTTCCTCCAGTGAAACCAGGGTTAACAAGTGCTGTATTGCTAAACTTTTCTGAATCTGTTCCAAAGAAGAAACAAAGTTCTATGTGAATATTCAGCTAATTTTTATTCTTGGGTGAACTACTCCTTTAAAATGCTTTGTGTTGTATTTTAGTTTGACCATGTTGTCTTTTTTTTTTTCTTTTTTCAGGCAGCTCAGATTCCTGCCAAGAAAGCCCAATCTGAAGCCGATGTTTCAGTATGCAGTGAGGTAAGATTAATAGGGGTGTAACGGTTCACGAAATTCACGCTTCGGTTCGATACGACACAGTGGTGTCACGGTTCGGTACGGGGGTAATTGGTTACGTCGCAATGTTGGAAATATTTCTGTTTTAAACCATGAAGGCAAGCCAATGGATATCACACACAAGCAACGTGCAAACTTTGCGCAGGAGTTGTGCCGGTGAACGTCTTAATCTCAGTCAATTCACTATGCAAAAAGTGAAAGTAACAACGAAATGACGGAGTAATGAATCTACTTCAACATATACTCATAATGGTCTATAGCTACCTGTTTTTATTTATTCCCTTAATATTTCTAATATTACATAGTGAAAAAAAATAAGAAGAAACATATTTCATGTTAAACGGGTTGTTTTTGAAAGTCGGTGCTCATTGATTTTTATTGTTGACTGCAGTGTTAAT